ACCCTAAACCCTCAAAAACCCTAAACCCTCAAAAACCCTAAACCCTCATAAACCCGAAACCCTAAGCCGTAAAAACTAAACCCTAAACCCTCATAAACCCTAAACCCTAAACCCTCATGATAAACCCTAAACCCTTATAATAAAGCCTAAGCCCTAAACCCTCAGAAACCCTAAACCCTAAACCCTAAACCCTTTGGAAACCCTAAACCCTAAACCCTTTGGAAACCCTAAACCCTAAACCCTCATAAACCCTAAACCCTCACCTCTCCACTGTTGATCGTAGAACTGAATTATAAACGCCGTAAACCCTAATATAAAACCCTAAACCCTAAACCCTATTATAAAACCCAAACCCCTAAACCCTAGAATAAAACCGTAAACCCTAAACCCTAATAAAATATTTTTTTGTATATATTTGTTTGTTTTTGTTGTGTATAGGAGATGTGATTGGGGGTGCTTTGTCTTTGTTTATAAGAATAACATATTCTTGCTGGTTTTCTTTTTCTGTTTTTTTTTCTTCTTTTTATAAACCTCTGCTTCTTTTTAATTCTTTAACAGAAATTCATTCGCTTTTTCTTCGCCTGCAGCTCAAACACAGACTCCCCCAGGTCAAACCCTAAACCCTAAACCCTAAACCCTAAACCCTAAACCCTAACCCCTTGAAACAAGAAAACCCTAAACCCTCAAAACCACTAAACCCTAAACCCTAAACTGTTGCCTTGTCGTCTTCATCTCCTCCTCAAATTTCACAGCAACAAAGGCGTAGCAAAACACTCGCATGCTAGGGTTTAGGGTTTAGGGTTTAGGGTTTAGGGTTTAGGGTTTGTGGTTACAGACAGCGAAGCAGCTAGCGGATTTAGAGCAGCTGATGACGCAGCAAATAAAAGAAGAAATTCAAGACCAAGCACAGGCTAGTTTTTTTCCTTTTGTTTTATTTATTTATTTATTTTTGTTTTTTTATTTATGTCTTTTTGTTTTTTTATTTATTTCCTTTTGGTTTTTATTTATTTCTTTTTGTTTTTTTAATTTATTTCCTTTCATTTATTTATTTTTCATTTGTTTATCTCTTTTTGTTCTATTCATTTATTCATTTTGGTTTTGTTTATTTATTTATTTCTTTTTGTTTTATTTATTTATTTTTTTTTGTTTTATTTATTTATTTCTTTTTGTTTTGTTTATTTATTTCTTTTTGTTTTTTTTTTTTTTTCTCTTTGTTGCTGGTCTTTGCCTCTCCTTCCTCTTCCTTCTGTGTGTTTGTGTGTCGTTTTCTTTAATTGCATTCGCTGCATTGCCTCGTGCTGTCGTTGTCCAGGGTTTAGGGTTTAGGGTTTAGGGTTTAGGGTTTAGGGTTTAGGGTTTTGTGTGCGTGCTGCAGCTGGTGCTGCTGCAGCAGCCGCTAGACCCTGTCGCTTTGGGGGAGTTTCTCTCTTCTTTTCGATGTCCGTCTGCTGCAAACCCTAAACCCTAAACCCTAAACCCTAAACCCTAAACCCTCATCAATAAACCCTCGGCATAAACCCTAATCAACAGACTGTAGGAGACAGATAAAGAGACAAAGGAGACAGTCGCTATCTCTATCTCTTCTTTCTCTCTTTCTCTCTTAGTCTTTTTCTTTGTGTTTAGTGTTTAGGGTTTAGGGTTTAGTGTTATACATTGATCTATATATATATATATATATATATACATATATGTATATATATATATNATATATATATATATATATATATATATATATATATATATATATATATATATATATATATATATATGTATGTTTTTATCTCAGCTCTTGCTGCAGCAGCAAAACCAGCTCTTGCTGCAGTGCTGCAGCAGCAGGTGTACAGACACCTCGACGGCGCCGCCCGCAGCAGCTTAAAGAGCTTCCTCTCCTCTCTCAGCAGCAGAACAAACAAAAACAACAAAAACAACAACGCAGAAGAACTGCATGCGATACACTGCAGCTGGTCAGCAGCAGCAGCAGCAGCAGCAGCAACAGCAGCAGCAGCAGCAGAAGAAAAAGACAGTACATGAACTATTACGTTTGGTGTTTTGTGTGTTTATGTTTAATTTGCTTTTATTTTTTTCGTTTTTTTTTCTGTTTCTAATTGTGTTTTTGTTTTGTCTTTTGTTGTTTTTTAATTATTTTCTCTTATTTTCTTTTTTTTTTCTTTTTTTTGTTTATTGCAGCGCGGAGATGCAGCAGCAACTGATATCTGCTCTTCATATACAAGACGTAGAAACAGCCCTGCCACTCACCTCGGTAAACTGCTGCTGCTGCTGCTGCTGCTGCTGCTTCTGCTGCTGCTGCTGCTGCTGCTGCTTCTGCTGCTGCTGCTGCTGCTGCTGCTTCTGCTGCTGCTGCTGCTTCTGCTGCTGCTTCTGGTGCTTCTGCTGCTACTGCTGCTGCTGCTGCAATAGGGTTTCTTTTGCTGTTGCTACCCGTCGGGGTGCGAGTGCTGCTGCTGCTGTTGCCTATGCTGCTGCTGCTGCTGCTGCTGCTGCGTGCGTGTGCAGGCTGTGCTGCGCGTCTCTTCTTTGGCTGGGGAGACGATACAAATCCACAAAGAGCTGCTGCTGCAGCTCCAGCAGCAACTGCAGCAGCAGCAAACAGCTAGTGCTGCTGCTACTGCTGCTGCAGCTTTTAGCAGCACTCTGAGGTAAGATTTGCGCTTCCCATAGAACCTGCAGCAGCAGCAGCAGCAGCAGCAGCAGCAGGGACTGCAGCAGCAGCAAGGTTCTTGCTTGCGTTTGCTTGGGTGGTTTTCAGGTCTGTGCAGCAGGCAGCAACAGCATGGAAGACAAATGCAAGTGCAGCAACCCTGCAGCAGCAGCAGCAGCAGCAGCAGCAGGAACAGGAACAGCAGCAGCAGAACGATATATTCGAGACAGCGAAGAGGCTGTTTGATGCATTGCAGGTAAGAATCTCTTATTTGGTTATTTTGTTGGGTTTGCTGCTGTTGCTGCTGCTGTTGCTGCTGTTGCTGCTGCTGCTAATCTTGTTGCTACTGCTGTTGTTACTGTTTCTGCTGCTTTTGCTGCTGCTACTCCTGCTGCTACTGTTGCTGCTGCTGCTGCTGCTGCTGGTTTGTTGCAGCTCCCACCACTGCCGCAAGCCGACGTGTTGCTAGTCCTTCAGCTGCTCACTGGGCCAGTGCTCCAGCAGCAGCAGCAGCAGCAGCAGCAGCNCAGCAGCAGCAGCAGCAGCAGCAGCAGCGACACCACAAGAAGCAGCAACAGCGAAGTCGCTGAGCTGTTTCTCTGTGTATCTAGTGCTGCTGCCAGCAGCATTGGTGCTTCCTTTGTCCCCCTATTTCGAGCTCTTGCAGCAGCAGCAGCAGCAGCAGCTGCTGCTGCTCTTGCTGTTAGTGCTGCTGCTGCTGCTGCTACTGCTGCAGCAAAGTGTTTGCTTGTTCAGTTCAGCAGCAGATGCCACTGCAGCGGGGCTCAGGGGGAGAAGCAGCAGCAGCTGCAGCAGCAACAGCAGCAGCATCACCAGATACAAGAACGCTCGTTACAGTAGGGGAGCAGTAGCAGCAGGAGCTGCTGCTGCTCCTGCTGCTGCTGCTGCTGCTGCATGTGATTTTAATGCTGCGGCAGTTAGCTTTACATTTGTTTTTAGATAAGAAGGTATTAATTGAGTTTATTGAATTTATATTAGTGGAAAGGAGTGAGGGAGAGAAGAAGAAGGAAACGAGGAGGTGTACATACACCCCAGACAGACAAGCCAATCGGTCTTGTCTTATAAGCAGGCAGCAACAAATAAATTAATTAATTAATTAATTAATTAATTAATTAATTAATTGATATATTAATAATAGTAGATACACCGTCGAGTAAATGAGTAGAAAAATACAGAAGAGGATAGCCAGGGGGACAGACAGAAGAAGACACAGAGAGAGACAGAGAAATAAACAAAGAAACAAACAACCGAAGAAAAAAAAAAGAAGTGACAACAAAGACAGCAGTAAACAGTCTGAGTAGCGAGGGTCTGGTGGGGATCGATCGACTCGTGTGCAATGCTTCTTTAAACAAGTTGCGTGGCTAGCTGTGGCTAGCCACAACTACCCACAGCTAGCCACAGCTAGCCATAGCTAGCCATAGCTACAGCTCGTCAGAATCAAAGAAAGGCTTAAAGTTGTAATTCTATTTGAATGTTGTGGAGGTCCCCGGGAGAGAGCTTGCTTGCGTGGCTCGGTGTTGGTGTTTGTTTATTTAATTTTGTCGATTCACTTTGTTATACCAATATGTTTCAGTTTTCTTTTTGTATAAATGCAAGAACGTTTTATTTCTGTGAGTTCGTTTGTTTTATCTACCTGATGCAGATTGGGATCCTCGAGGCCCTCCTCTGTTGCATAGGGAGGAGAAGGGGAAACGACACGGCTGGTGTGGGTGTATATACACCTCTCGTCTTCTTATTTCTTTTTGTTTTGTTGAAAAATAATATAGTTATTCCTTTTCATGTTTTTATAATTCAATTAACGCAGACGATAAACTTCTGTGGTGTGCATACTGCGACGCCTGTTGCAAGAGCCCCTCAGCCCAGCCCTGGAGGAGCCGCAGCGTTTTTTACTGATCTATAGGGTGAATTTACTATTTAATTAGTTTATTTTTCATTGAATATATAGTTTAAATAGTTAATTTAACTCCATTTGCCGAAATTTGCATGCAAAATCCCCCTTTTTTGCTCACGAGTAGTGCCAGCAACCGCCAGAGGCATGTTGAGGTGTCTGTACACTCGGAACGGAAAGCAACTTTCTTTTTTCCTCTTTTTGTTGCCTTCGAGTTTCCCAATAAAAAAGGTATATTTGACGAATTTTAATTCATGAATTGTTTTTAATTTATTTGTTTATTTGAATTCCGAGGAGCGCGAGTCGTTTTCTCTTTTATTTCCGTTTTTCACTTTCCTCCGTTTCGGGCGGCATCTCCATACATGTAATGCACAGTGGCCGTATACTGTGCCTACGATACCCACTTGAACTCTTTGTCAGTAGATCTACACA